AATTGTACATACCCCAGAATGCATCACCTAGTATATTGGCAGTACTTCTCCCCAACAATTTCTCATTTCCTCCCAACCATAGCTGAGAGATGGAAATAATTTTTAAAGCAGCATTTAAATCTGATCTATTTTTTAAAAAGGTCCAAAACACACTGCAGAAATAAACGCTAGGGAACATGGGAGCTGTAGTTTGTTGTGTTTATAAGTGACAGCTTTCCTGCTAAGTACCTGCATGTCATAAGCATTTGAATTAAAAATACCATATTGAAATAAAATCTGATATATTTTTTATTTTTATTTGGTGTGTGTTAGAAGAGGGGTCATCTTATACGGCGAGTATATTCCAAACTCTATATTTTAATTGGAAAAGTTAGGGGTCGTCTTATCCACCCAGTCATCTTATATGCCAGAAAATACGGTATTTTCCCATCATCACTGCCCTTAGGGTTTATTTAAGATAATCTGACCAGATAATCTTAATAATAAAAGGTAGGCTGACAATATCTGACTCGGCCAATTGACCACCTTTACTATCCTAACACAGATGGATATAAGATACAATTTAACATACTACAGAGTTAACCTGAAAACAGAATATTCCAAGATGTTACGGCTATAAGTGAAGGCGGTCAAGAGAGAGCAAATCCACACCTTCCCAAAAACACAAATACTTGGCAAATGGGAGAAACTGGAGAGATGAGGAGGCCTCAGTGCCCGGCTAGTCAGCAGGGGCTAATGAAGTCAGGCTGGATGTGACTCAGAGAAACAGCGACAAGCAAGATGACCTGGTGCAGGGGACCAATCTCCCTCCTGCCTAACTAACACTGGACTTAGCCTACTATCTTAATAAGCTACATGGTCAATTGCTTCTTACCACTATGAAAAGTCCTCCATTTTGTTCCACTTCAGCAGTTTCCATCAGTAGTTCTATAGACTTCTTTTTTCCAATGATTTTCACTACCCGTACAATCAAATCCTTCTTAGGTTCACAAAGCCTAAAAGAAAAATAAGTTCTATGAAAGTCTAAATCCTTGCATTTTGCAACCAGCTTATGTGAGGAAACATTTTTATTTATAAATTTATCTACAGTTAATACTATTACTATTATCTGACATTTGTTCACTACCAACAGCATGATACTCAATTAAATATTACAGAAGAAATATAGCAAGACTAAAATCTTATGCATTCTGCATAAGATTCAGAATTCACTTTCAAATAACAGCAGATTCCTATTTATTTATTCATTGCACTTATATCCTGCCTTTCCCCCAAAATAGGCTCCAAGGCAGCTATGAATCTTAGATAAATAAGTAGAGTTTTAAAATGTAATTATTTCAGAGCAAAACGAAAAGATTTTAGGTCTGAAAATGTGCCTGTCCCTACACCTGAGTAAGGGCCTTTACAGACTGCCAGAAATAATGCAGCTTGAGACCACTTTAATTGCCCTGGGTCAGTGCTAGGGAATCATGGGAACTGTAGTTTATTGTGGCACCAGAGGTCTCTGACAGAGAAGGCTCAATGTCTCCAAAAAACAAACAACCCCAACACCTACAATTCCCATTATTCCCTAGCACTGAGCCAGGACAGTTAAAGTAGATTCAAGCTGCATTATTTCTGGCAGTCTGTACATTATCAAATTACAGTATAAACAGTGTGTTAATTTTTGTGTACCTATTGGAACTTCTTGCTTTAAAACTTAAATGATTTAGCAAGGGCATATCTTTTTATCCTTTGGAACTTAAAAGGGCAGGATGCACAAAAATGTCACAGTGCCTTCCAGGAGTATTCCCTCCACATTTTGTCGTGTTACAGCCTGGAACTGAAATTGATTCAATTGGCACAGTTACCACTTGATGTGCACTGTGAAGGTACAAAATATTTTACTGTGGCACAAAAGCTGAGTTTGCAGAAACAATCTGACACTTGGTTGTATGAATATTTATGCCTCTGAGGCAGTACTTGGTAGAAACACCTATGGC